GAAAAAAAAGGAAAAAGAAACCAGTCCAACCAGAATATAAAGTATAACTTACATGTACAGTTTGCCCGATCTTCTCAATATCAGAAATGATAACAGCGTTAATGTTGGCGAACTGAACTATATTGAATCGTGTTTTGCTACCATTGTAATCGAATGACAAGTCAACAACTGATGGTAATTGTGGACTCTCGAGCATCAAACTTGAATAACTCGCCGAGCTCAGTATATAAAGTGCAGCGTGTTATCTAAAATCATAACACGTATACAGAAACTTGCTACCCTTACAGGAAGAAATTCATGCTATTCATACTATATATAAATCCATGCTTTAGTTGTTTCACAGTCAAACATCTAAGGAAAGCATAATTCCTTTCCACCTATGCATCACCAGCCTTAAAAAAATATATTCACAACTCCGTGTTTTTTAAAACATTAAATTTCTAAAAATACCGAGTGACTAATACCTTCGATATTTTAAATATGTTGGTATGTTTGAATTCAGATAAAAGGTATCTTAAATGAGTACGCTGCCATAAAATCTTGAATACACTATTTCACATCCCGGACTTTCTGAACATTTTTATATCCTGTATCTTGCAAACAGTAACGTAAAAAAAACGAATAAAGACAAAAACCACCCATAGTTTTCAAATATAAATCACTACCGACAAATAAAATGTATAATATCTGCATGGTTTTTTAAAAACAGATAGAAACATACAACATGCGCTTCAAGAATTACGGAATTATTATAAATACTACCAGTAAAATCATGCTAACTGATGCTAATATATAATCATAACCAAAGGACTTTCACGACTGATCTTTGAATAGCACAAATCTTAGAACACTCACATTTCCGAAACAAATATTGCTTAAATTAAATTTTCCATTAAACCTAATAAAATACTTTATATAATCAAGAAATGAAGAACTTCCACAACTGATATATAAATAACGGCTTTTGCCTTCGACATCTGTGAAATGAATCTTTTAACAAAACAGGGATTATACTAATATGAATCCTGTTTTCAAGTGTGAAGCACTAAATATACGCGGTAAAGTAAAAAAAAAAAAAACATTAGAAGTGGAAGCACCTGAAGCATATACGAATCCGATTAACTCGGAATTAAGTTTTGCAATCAGCCAGTTACCCTTTAACTAGAAATTATGGTATCAAAATTATCAAGATGGAAAGAAATCTCAAATGATCAAATAATATGTTACAAATGGCAAAAAACTACCAAACAAAAAAAACTTCCAGCTAAGTTTTACACATCATTCGATGAAGCATTTAAGCAATGTTCACTTCTTTAGTTGTGTTAAAATCGTCTTCAGTTGCAAAATCCTTTGTTCCAAAGCACCAGGTTGAGCGCTTAGTATTGGGTGTGACCTGAAGAGAGATGCTCTCCACCTTATCAATCATTTTATAACAAGTCTGGAATTTTTCAAAAAATGGTATGCTTCAAATAGATATGGATTTACCTTAGAGCAAGCGCAAGAAGGTAAGTGTATTCCAGGTGTGAAAATATTGCTCCTCGCTCCAGAATTAAAGCCAACAACTGATCAGGATCGTGGTTGAGTAATTCGAAAAAAATTCTCGCTCTTTCTAGCTCACTTTCACGATGTCCTGTCAGCTGACTTAACCTCTGTTGTACTGCAAAAATATTTCGACAGACACGTTTCTTTCCATTTTCATTCAATTTTTGCATATGTTGGCTGAAAATTTCTATTCTTAGCAAGATTAAAGGAAAATACTAGAACGAGCAATATTTTTAACATTCATCGTGTATTTTTGGAAATCCGAAAATGGTTTCTGAATTTGCCCTTGGGCCTGTGTAGAATAAAAGTTTCGAAGAATAAATTCCAATACAAAAACTTATTACCTGGAATGAATGAAGATGGAAGCTGAAAGATGTCCTAAGCCGTCAAAGAGATATTTCATTTTATGTGGCGGAAGATTCGTGCTGAGTACTTGATGAAAATGAGCCATATCACGCCCAAAATCAATTACCTATAGTTAATTACAGCTTGAAAAATTTCCCACGAAAATTTCAAATCCTCAGTCAATTTAAGCTTATATCATATTAGCAATAAACAAAACAAAGCATGAGAGAAAACAAACATAAAAGAGTGAGGAAAATAAGAAATGCTTTGCCGTTTTACTTTAAGAATATGGATAACTTACTTCGTTATCGAGTTCATCATGAGGTAATGAAGGCCTTACTCGAGCGAGTGGCAATAAATGAAAGAAGCAATGTACACGAAGCTCAAGGTGAATTATCAATAAACAAGTGTCCGCTTTTGCTTCCAAATCGGCTAATCTGGAATCTAGCGCAACGGCAATATGCTCTTCCTTAAAATTAGTTTAATTTCTTTGAGAGTCAATTAATTCAACAAAGTTGGATTTCCCAGCTACTAAACTGTATTGCGGACATTAGATTAAATTTCTCTTTGAATGCTATATGTTCTTTCCTTTCAGTTTTCATAATAAAGTTTTTTCATAATGACGAGTATACATATTGCAGGAATTAAATCAAACTTCTCTTTGAATGCTATATGCTCCTCGCTTCCAGTCTTTTTCATAATGAAGCTATTGTAAGCGAAACGAATAAAGTGACGTATAAGAAACTATGGAAAACTGGTCCAATATATGATTAAAATTTTTAAATTTTTGAAAAATCCATGCATCCTTACATCATAGTATGCATACAGATTCAGCATATTCCAAAATACAACATCTGCCCAAAGTAATAAATACTGTTATTACGGTAAATTATAAGCTAAAATATTACTCACAGATTGGTGAACAATGCCACTTCCATCTGTTCTTTGTAATTGTACAACGCATTTATGCATTGCATTACGGGACGACTCCGGGAGCTTTTCGATGAGAGAACGCATGCTGCCACAGAACCATTTCAGTGATTCATGTATACATGCCAGCGAACGAATTATTTCCATATCGGTTATCAGCTCATCGCGAACAAGCTGTTTCGCTGTTCCCAGGTTACCTAAAATGCAATTTGAATAACTATGTTTGGATAACAATCAAGACCAAAAATTTTGAATTCCAAATCGATGACTCCTTACGATCTTCAAGTTATAGAAACAAGTGTCGCGAATTCCGATTCGCGAGATTCCAACCATACCCCAAACTAACAAATAAATTTCTTGCTATAAATAAATGTTAATAGTGTAAATCATTTAACCAATTTACATTCTTTAAAATTA